TATTATATATCAATAATATTTTTTATCAAAAATTATTTTTGAAATTCAGATATATACAAATATATACAAATATTACCTATTTTTGCAAAGAAAGTAACTGTTTATTGACATCTTCCAATTTATTCTTCCAATATCGTTTGTCCACAAAGCACAATGTTCGCTATTCGAGAAAACATGTTTATTATTCATTTTTGATCACATAATCTATTTGAAGCTAAAAATAAGCGATGCATGAAAAGGTACCTTTATAAGTATGAGAGGTAGTATTAAACTTGACATTTCTTGAGAATGGTAAATAAAGTGTTCGCAAAAGTTAAAACGAATACGTGCGTCGAGTTTGACGTTTCGTGGTGAACCCTCGTGGATGTGTACGTTTTCGTTTATTTTCGCGCCGATATATTTATTATTACAGATTCGCGAAGGTGCGCGATTTCGAACGTTTTGTCATCATTCTAGCGTCTAGCTTGGATATGGCAGTCGATTTAGGATTCGTGGAGAAATGCGAGTCCTGGCGGCTGGAGAGCCGATTCTTCCCCAGTAAAGTAGGCGGCAGGCCGGCCTGGCTCGATCTAAAAAATATTCCCACCAAAGCTGATCTAGAATGCGAATATTGCGGCGATCCCTGTGTGTTTCTTTGCCAGATTTATGCGCCATATGAGGAGGACGTCGATGCGTTTCATAGAACTATATACGTTTTCATATGCAAAAATGTAGATTGTTGCAAGTTGAATCAGAACGGAAACTTGAAAGTTTTCCGATCACAGATGAATAGAGTTAACAACTTTTATCCATCCGAACCACCTGTGGAACAGAAGGATTGGAAAACAGATATTGGTATGGTATTGCGATATATGAACAAGAATTATTTTTATCTTCAGTGACTAATAAAATTATATCAGCATGCATACATATACATACAACGTTAATTTATACTTTTGTAGATGTATCGCAGTGGACAAAAACATGTCATGTATGTGGAATCTTGGCACCAAATCACTGTGGTAAATGTAAAATCGTCAATTATTGCTCTCGAATACATCAAGTTTATGATTGGAAGAACAGACACAAAGATATATGTGGTATGGTAGAAGATAAAAATGACAACAGTTTTCTGTTTCCTGAATATGAGATAGTGATAGAGAGCGATGATATTACAAAAGAAAATGTTGAGCAGAATGATCTGAAAAGTGAACAAGAAGAAATGGAAAAATATAACACGATGGTGCAAGATGACAGAGTTGGAACATTTCAGCATGAAGATGTTAATGATGACTTACTAGAAATGGCTAATGATGAGAAAGATGAGATATTTGCAGAGTTTCGTATGAAAATAGATAATTATCCAGATCAGATTTTAAGGTATATTTTTTTAAATATAAAAATTAAATAATTTATAACAACCAGAGAACTAAGCTGCATTTTTTATCAGGTATGATAGAGGAGGAAAAGTTTTATATATTTCATCACATAATCAGACAATAGATATACCAAAATGTCCAGAATGCAATGGTGATAGACAATTTGAATTTCAGGTATAGATTCATTCACACAAAAGTGTCAAACTTTAAAACTACTATTAGAATAACAATAATTTTTATAGTACAAAATCTTTTTTTGTTTCTCTCTTTGAAAAAAAATGAGAATTTTTCATTTTCTTTCGAAATTTTCATTTAAAATCAATGTGTTCTCTTTAATAAAATATACAAATTAAAAATGATTTTTACAGATAATGCCACAGCTATTGAACTATCTCGGCTCCAAAGATGTTATCAAGTGCCTTGATTGGGGAATATTGGCTGTTTTCACATGTAAACAATCTTGCATATCTAAGAATAAGTATATAAGAGAGTATATATGGAAGCAAGACATTGTACAGGAAGAAACTGAATCGAAAATAAATCAGAACATATGAATATACTTGATTTTTTATATAAATAAAGACATTCAATTTCCTTTTATTTCAACTTTATTCAATTATGAAAAGAGTAACATGTTCTTTTGTATCATCCAAGTTAATTCATTAGTCGACTAAACTATGATATTAAAAAATGGAACAATAAACATTGACTATAATAAGTGCATAATTAAAAAAATGAATAATACAATATGACAATATATACAGTATAATATGACAACACAGTTTGTATTATATTTTTTCAATGTAAAGATACATTATAAAAATAATCTAATAAA